AGTAAATAACTTTTCTTTCATTACTTTCTCCGCACTAGCCGTAATTTTATAGACCTCTATCATATCCCCCTTAGTCACCTCATTTCTAAGATGAAAAGGCCCAGTTTCATTAATATCTCCTCATATGGTAGCTGCTCCATATCCCTAATCATTTTTGTTGCCCTTTTCTGAACTTTTTCCAATTCCAAGATATCTTTTTGAGATGAGTTGACCACCTTCCTGTGCACACAGTATTCAAAATGTGACTGTACCACGGACTTATATAGAGCAATAAAATATTCTCTATCCCTTTTTTAGTGATTCCTAGCAGTCTGTTTGCTTTTTTGACTGCTGCTGCACATTGAAGGGATGTTTTCAGAGAACAATCCACAATGACTTAGATCTCTCTTGAGTGGTAATAGCTAATTTAGTCTCCATCATTTTGTATGTATTGTTGGGATTATATTTTCCAATATGCATTAATTTAAATTTATCAACCTTAAAATTAATTTGCTATTTTGTTGCCTACTCACCTAGTTTTGTGAGATCCTTTTGAAACTCTTCACAGTCCTCTTTGGATTTAATTATCTTGAGCAGTTTGGTATCATCTGCAAATTTTGCCACTTCACTGTTTACCCCTCTCTCCAGCTAGTTTATGAATATGTTGAACAGGATTGGTCCCAGTCCAGGTCCCTGTGGGACACCACTAGTTACCTCTCTCTATTCTGAAAACTTATCATTTATCTCTATCCTTTGTTTCCTATCTTTTAACCAGTTATTATTCCATGAGAGTACCTTCCTTCTTATCCTATGACAGCTTACTTTGCTTAAGAGCCTTTGCTATGAGAGAGCACAAATGGAAACGTAATAATGGAAAAATAGATGAAGCTATTATAGTTTTTCAACATAATGTATTTCATTTTTCTATTGTATCGCAGCACTTCCTTTTAATGTCCCATGCAATATTTTCTCGGGACTCCATGCTTTCAAGCTATTTCTAGTAAATCAAAATATTAAGAGTTTTATCAAATGAATTGTTACTATGACAGCAAATAGTAACATTCCATCTTGCTGAATTTAAACTAACAGAAGTTTTATGTAAGATATGAGGTGTAAAATATTCCCTCATGAGAAGCATTGCAGAGAAGAAATCAGGAGCGTGAAATGGGGATGTGCCCAAATTCATAAAAGATTTTTGCTGTTTTTTTCTTGGGTGGGGTGTTGTTTTTTGCTTCTGAGTCTTTTTTTCAGGATATAGGAAACTATAAAATGAAAATAGCTTCTAGTTCACCTGTGCTTTTGATTATAATCTCATCTATTTCCAATAGCTGATGCTATTGTTTTTTCCATTGTGTATTTTATTTGTCTCAGAGAGATTTATCTTTAAACTAATTTCAACAGTCAAAATTCTAATAATTGACTAATACTCTCACAAAAAACATGGGTAAATTGAAAAGAAATATTTTGAACCCCTGTTCCATGGTGTATTTGCTTGATCATGCTACTTATTGCTTTATTACACTAGAGGGAACTATAAGCTGGCAAGTGAAGATGAGTAGGCAATATAATTCTGTCAACTTGTAAAAGGAAATGTGAACTGTGCTGAAAGAGATGAAGCAGAAGTAGATCCCTGAACTCACTCTTTTCATGCACCACAGACTTTCTTCATTCAAATATGGAACAGAAATTCATAAATGCAGAGAATATACAGAGCATCTTGAAACTATGCTTATATGAAATCATTCTGGAGATACTGAGTAAATATTTGAAAGGAAGATGACTTTACATATGGGAGTAGTATTAGTCTATAAAGAGTCTATTCTGTTTAAGAGGAGGCAATATAAAGTCAATACTCGTGCTGCTAAAGTATCAAGTGATATTTTTGTATCACTTTTTATTAAAAGTTTATTATAGTTAAACAATAGAGGTCTACCTTAAACTGCGAGAGACAAAAGGAGTAGAATTCTGGCATTAGTTTGTCTGGCTTTCTTTGCCATGTTTGGGCATGTCCTGCACGTCTAACTCAGCTAGAAGTCTAACGAGACTCCTGCTTGAATAAAGAGTTCAGAGTCTGGCCCATTGTGCATATGTATTGTCAAGAGCTTTTTTTAATATTTAAAGAAAACTGTGGTGGCTTCCTAGATAATTAAATGTTTATGAAATAAGAATTCTTAGTTGAGTCATTGTCGTTATTGCTGTCTCCATAGCTGAAAATGGTCCTTTTAAAGTAGTGGTTCTCAACTTGTTTCAGTCTATGGACAACCAGGCCAATCAAAAAATTTTCGTGGACCACCTCCTTTTTGAGACATGATAAAAAAGAGCAGACAACGAACATTTTGGTTTGAAATGTATTTCTTACTTACAGATTTTTGGATTCTCTTTTCACTGACAATCTTTTCAATGTTTGGAGTGGTACTTGATAATGCACAACGAATATCGCTTTCCAATGCAAGCTGATTCCTCTGTTTGGACTTAATATGCAACAAACATGAAAATCCAGTCTCACACATATAAAGTTGATGCAAATGGCAAAAGAAATCTGACTGTGTGTGCTGACAGATTTGAGTAACTCCTGGTCACGCTGGCCCAAAATTTCTCTATGGTAGACTGCTGGTACACGTCTTGAGCCGCTAAATCATTTTTCAGATCCAAGAATTCCTCCTGCAGATCCTCTGGAACACTATTAACATCTATTGTAAATGGATTCCTGATGAAAGATAATCCATCCCTTGTCCTGTCCACCTCCGGAAAGTATCATTGGAATTCATCTCATAGCTTCCGTAAATGATTGAGAATTTGCATCCAAGTGGCTTCCTTTTCCCCAAGCATGGCATCCACATATGGAAATTGAACCAAATTATTGCCTCTTACGATCCAGAGTTCCAGTTTGTCAAGAAAAACCTTGATGATGCTTTGGTGAGAGAACAGATTTGCACCTTTCCCTTGCAGCTGAAGATTCAGTTTGTTCAAGAGTCCAAAAATATCGACAATATACGCAAGTTCTAAATTTGACTGTCAGCACATTTCAGAATTCCTCTTTTCCTTGAGCCAGGAGAAATAAATCCAATTCCTCTCTCAATTGAAAAACTCTGTTGAGTACATTCCCTGCTGATAACCACTGTACAGAAGTGTGGAACAGCAACACATCAAAGTCAGAACCCATGTCTAGGCAAAATCTTTTGAACAGCCTGGTGTTCAGAGCTGATGATTTGATGTGATTCACCACTTTCACCAACCCTTTGAAAACAGTGTTCAGCTGATCAGGCAATGTTTTTGACATCAAAGCTTCCCTATGAATGAAGCAATGAACTCCGGTTTCACCAGCGTATGGAAGTCCGATCTTGAGCCCAGCATGACAGGTGCACCATCAGTGGTGACACCCACAAAATTTACCCAATCCAGGCCATGTACTTCAAAAAAATTGTTAACAATTTCCATCACATCCTGAGCCTTTGTGGTGGTATGAAGAGTCTTACAAAAAAGAAACTCGTCTTTGAAGTCTCCCTCAACCATGTATCGTGTGAACACCAATAGCTGAGAGCACAATGTGACGTCGGTCGATTCATCCAATTGTACGGCAAACAATGGAGACTTCTTTATTTCATCCACAACTTGTTCACTGATGTTCTGTGATATCTCATTTATCCATCTCGATACTGTGTTGATAGAGACAGATATATCATTCAGCTTCCTTGCTGCTTCCTCGCCAAGGACAAGCCACACCATCTCTTTTGCACAGGGGAGCACAAGTTGCTCTACAATGGTATAAGGCTTCTTGGCCTGTGCAACTTTGTATGCAACAATGTAGGAAGCGCTCACTGCATTGCTTGTCTTCTAGTAGAACACACTTGTTGAGTTGAGGCACTGCCGTTTCAGACCTGATAACCGCTGCTCAAAATAATCTTCATCCTTTTGCATCAAGTTGGGCTGGCACTTTTCGAGATGGAGTTTCAGCTTAGTCAGCTTCATTGAGTCATTCCCCAAGATTTTGAAACAAATAACACATTGTGGCAAATCCACTCCTCCTTTTTCTTGACAAGTGAAGCCGAATTTGATGTAGTCCTCCGAATACTTGCGCTTGACATTTCTTCCTGCTGTTGCCATTATAAATAAACTACAGCACACCTGTAAAACAGCACATGTAGCACACGACAAACGACACAGCAAACGCTCAGCATGACGGCGGCAGCTACACGGATGCTCAGAACCTCAGATGGAAGTTATTGGCAACACAATGCGGTTGCTTCCTAGGTGACGCTATGGATGACGCGCCACATGCTTGTGAACATGGCATAAAACAGCCTAATGGCAGCGCCTGTTTATGCCATGTGACTTTGGACAATGTTCTTGTGGACCACCAAAAAAGTCACCATGGATCACCAGTTGAGAACCACAGCTTTAAAGAGTACCTTGTACTTGTAGGGCAGTTGTGGGCAACCAGTGGCCTATGGGCTGCTTGCAGCCCACTGGGATTCAATCTGTGACCTGCGGATCCCCTGTCTTCCCCACATCCCCACTCGCATGCTGAAGCACTGGAGCCCTGCTCTTCCTACTTCGCTCCCTCATGCTTCATGCTGGGGCTGGCAGAGAGAGATGCTTCTGCCCTGGCCACAGCAGCTCCATGGGCAATGAGTCCCTCTGCAGGGCCTGTTAGACAGCACAATACCCCAGTTGCATAGGGCACCCAAAGATTTGGGACACCATTGGCTCTTCATATCCATGTGCCTGCCTCTTCCTGTTTCTGTTCTGTGGCTCTGCTTCCTCCAGAGAGGATCTAGTTAACTTAAAAGTGAAAAAGCCTGTCAGGCCCATTCACATGGTAATGAAGCCACTTAACAGGCCTATCAGTTTCTGAATTTACTGTGTTAGTCTACAGCAGTGTTTCCCAAATAGTGCTCCACCTTTTGTTTTTTCGTTTGTTTTTGTTTTGGTGGACCAGTCCCTCTCTCCCACAATCAGTTTTTTTTTAAAGGGTTCTGTGGGCAAATAAAATTGGGAAACACTGGTCTACAGTTCCTTAATTTAAAATTTGTTTTAAAAATATTTCATGAGTGTGTTGCTGAAGATTATAAAATCACATCTCTTAAAAAATCATTGTCCCTCCCCGTCCCTGGCTGCCATGTGGGTCATAGGGGCCGAGCTTAATAGTACTACATAGGGCCCTGTAAATCCTAAGGATGGACCTGGGTAGCTGAGTGGCTGGATGGCTGCACAGCTTAGAGGGAACTTGGAGGGGAGGGAGCTAAAATGGGATCTTGGACAAGTACACTGAATGGATATTCATTAACCCAGACCTGCTTCTACCCTTCCTTGTCATCCTGTCTTGAAGAAGGGGAGAAAGAACTGTAAAGGAGAGAAGGTGCTTAGAGAGAGATTAATGTCTGAAAGAAAAAAGAAAGAACTTGTTATAAAGTTTCCTGGACATCTCAAAAGGTATATTCTGTTCCCCTCTTCATATTGCATATGAAGGCGCAAAGGAACACGGAAACAAGTGTAACTTTAGGGTAGTGTTCCTAACATCAGTGATTTACAGCCCAGAGTTAATTTGTCAGTGAGAGGTGGCAGATATTATAAAAAGCACAGGCCTCATTCACCTGTGCCTGTGTTCAGAGGCATCAGGATCAAATTTCCATATCCCAGCAGGAACATCTCTCTCATTCATCATCAATCGGTAGCAATGGAATGTATAACTAAAACAGTTTTACCCAATCACTTGACAAACAGGAGTTGTCAAGAGATAACATCTCTACTGCATTTTTAAAAATATGTTTTGCTTTTTATTAAAATTCAGTGGATGCTGATTAACAAAATAATGTTGTGCAAATAAATTACCTTGCTTTCACAAGGGAACTGTAAGCATGGTGATAAAAGGGTTAAACAATGGGCTACCTCCAGTGTGTGTTCTGCAAGTCTTTCTGTATTTTAATGATAAGATCAAAAAGAAATTGCTGTGTCTTTGAAAAAAAACAAACCTCAAAAGAGGTATCATTTTACATCAAGTAGGCATTTTGATCTCTTTTAAGGACCATAATTAGCCATTATCACTGGGCAGCTGAGGCAGTTGCAGAATCAACAACAGGTTCATAATTCGGGGCACAACTTCATCAGCTAGTTCTGCATAGAGTGGAAGAATTCCAGAGAAATAGTTAGCAGATACACCATTCTTTCCCTGTTGCTGAAGAACAGTGTGCCCACCTGTCTCTTCCTGTACAAACTGGAATTCTCTGATATTTTGGCATCATGAATTTTGCAAGGCTTACATCCATCAAGTGTCCTCTGTGTGATCCATCTCAGACCTATAGTGGTAGAAATCCAGGACCTATTGGGAAGGGGCAAAGAACTGAGAGGTGAGTTTCAGCACCGCTTAGAAAACCTCAGGATTATTTCCAATCTTCCATTATTTCAGAGACATTAGTAACTTTGATTCCATGACTCAGCAGCAACTGCTTCATTGCTGCGTGTTGCTCCAGTAGAGTATCCCTGCTGTGATCTTTGCCACACGAGAGAGCTCTGAGAGGAGTAACAGTCCGCATTCATAACCACCTTAGTGCAAGGGCAAAGCTCTTGTTCATAGGAACAGCTGATTTTTTAAGAGTTGTTTGCCATTGAAATGCAGCTGCCAACTTTACACACCAGAAAGAGAATGTAGATTTGGACTGTCGTCACTGCAGATAGAGACAGCCACAACATTATCCCACTACTAGTAGTGGTTTTAAATGCGGCCAGGTCCACAGCCTCTCCTTCTCTCAGCTCTATTCAGTAACATAAATGGACACAAACCTCTCTACCTATCTTTGCTTCCTTTTCAGTTACTGCTTCGAAGAGCTATGGGTGCTCTTTTTTTCCTTCCTTAGCCTGGAAGCAGGCCAAGCTATCTAGCACTAACCTTCAGAATTCCAGAGCATTCGGCAGCCTACAATGCCAGAAAGTTTCTCTGAAATGAAATTACTAGGTTGTCCCTAGGCAGAGGATGTGAGTCTTTTGTAAGAAGTAAAAAGGGGAGCTGGCTGGGACTTGTAAATAACGCTTAATGCAATGGCCTGCTAGTATAGTATAATAAAGCCTGGTAGTGGTGAAGACAGCCTGGAGTGAGTGTGGTGGTCCACACCTAAGGGTACATTTAGACTACAGGCTTTTGTTGACAGATTCTGTCAACAAAGCTTCTGTCGACAAAGAGCATCTAGATTACAACCAGATTACAAGCCGCTTTGTCGACATGACAGTGTAGATGCAAAGGACAGTGTAGATGCAATAACATCTTCTGTCGACAGAGTTCTGTTGACAAAAGGCGTTATTCTTCGCAGACTGAGGTTTACAGCCGTCGACAAAACTGCTGAGTCCTGTCAATGTTACGTCAACAGAACTCAGCGGCAGTGTAGACGCAGGTATAGTTTTGTCGACAAAAGTCCACTTTTGTCGACAAAACCCTGTAGTCTAGACACACCCTAAGAGAGCAGTGTAAGAGGCTGAGCTGATGCTGCATAATAGTGGAATGTGCCTTTGGCAGATAGGGATGTATCTGTGCAGGCTAGACTTTATGGAGGAGCATAGCCCTATGGTTATAGTTGCTTGCTGTTCTTAGCATAATCTGTGTGATAAATAAGGGTGAAATGTTTGCTCATGGGTGGAGCACAGCGCTTGGGTGCAGAGATCGAGCAGCTGGACACTAGGGCTGTGAGAGGACCCATAGGGCTGTCATTAACATCAGGGAGGCTTTGCAGAACTACTTTGACAATGAGGTGCACTGAAGTCTCTCTCTTTTGGGGTTGCTTCCTGCTGCATCCAATTCCTCTTTCCAAATAACACATTTCTGTGAAAGAAAGGGCTTTAGCAGCTTGTACCTGGAGCCTGAAGGACTGGTATGGGTTGTGAAAGAGAAAATAAAGTTGTCATATCATTAAGGCTACATCTAGACTGGCATGATTTTCCGCAATGCTTTTAATGGAAATGTTTTTCCATTAAAAGCATTTGTGGAAAAGAGCGTCTAGATTGGCACGGATGCTTTTCCGCAAAAAATCTAGATGCAGTTTTGTGCAAGAAAGCCCCCATCGCCATTTTCGCCACCGGGGCTTTTTTGTGCAAAACGGTTCTCAGTTGTCTACACTGGCCCTCTTGTGCAAATGCTTTGCGCAAGAGGGCTTTTCCCCCAAACGGGAGAGTCATTGTATTTGCGGAAGAACACTGACAATCTTACATTAGATCATCAGTGTTCTTGCGCAAATTCAAAGCGGCCAGCGTGGACAGCTAGCAAGTTTTTCCGAAAAACTTGCCAGTGTAGACGCAGCCTAAATGTTTGCCTTTATTGATGAAATCATGGTCAGACTAAGGATCTAAGGATCAATGTTTGCTAGTAAGGGAGGAGTTGGGTTAGGGTAAAGCCTCACAACTGTGTGTAGGTCCAGCTATCATAGTCACAGTTGTGATAGGGAGTGGCATGTGGTGGAAACTGAGGAATGTGAAATAATGAAAAGCAGGAGCAGCCCGAGGCTGGCTGCAACAGCTGGCACCCTAGGCGGGGCGGCGCAATTGGCACCCCTGCCTGCACAGCCGGCAATGGCCCAGCGCCCCGTGACATCATCATCAGGCGCCCAGGCCAGCGGCGCCCTAGGCAGCTGCCTAGCATGCCTAGGCTTACGGGCCACCCCTGGTGAAAAGGAATGTTTGGGTGTCAAGGATGGGCTGCAGGACAGAGAATTTTGTATGTGTCACAGGGGAGGTTGAGGCTAGGTCTGCTAACCTGTCAGCTTGAGTAAACACTTGAGCATCTGGGTTTGTTCCTCCATAACTTTGATCATGTGCTCAGTGGCATCTTTCCTATTTCACACCTTTCACTCATGCATCACTCCTCCCTTTTTTGTGCCTCAACGGAGTAATGGTTCAGAACTTCCCTGACAAGATTCAGCCTATTAGGTCTCCTTCTTAGTTGACACAGTCTGTTACCTGTCAGCAGTCTTCTTAGCTCTCAAGGTCTCATTTGCAACATGGAATATAATAAAGGGATTGTTAAATTCCTGCTCAAAATTAAAACATTTTACTCATAAGCACCTTTTTCAACATATGCATTCTGTGATGGGGCATTGGTCCTGCCCTGGACCTTTAAGGGTTCAAACCCAGCCCTGGGAGAGGGGTGGAGCTGTGGAGTCAGCAGCTGTGGCAGGAATTAACCAATTAGGGCCCAGCAGAGGGCAGTATAAATAAAGGCTCCTGGAGGGGTGGAGAGACTTGCTTTAGTGATGAAGTAGGAGGACCCTAGTTGCTAGGGAACTGTGACTTAGGATAGGACTGGGGAGGCTCCCAGGTTGCAGGGCCCGAAGCAAGGCCTGGGGCTACTAGGGCTGAAGAGAGGCAGCCAGGGTAGGCAAAAGCAGCAGGTCCATACCCTCTTGCCAACGATGAGTGGCCATTTCAGACTGCAGTTTGCCCGTGACAGGGGCTAGATGAAGACTGGCAGTGGGCCACTGAGGCAAGGTGGGCACAGGGGGATGTGGAAGGAACCGGAGGGTGGGTGCACTGCAGCAAGGCAGTACCCAAAGGGGAGGATGCCGTGGTCTGGGAAGGATGTGGGTCCTAACACGGGCTATGTCTACACTGACAGCTTCTTGCGCAAGAACTCTTTTGTGGAAGAGTTCTTGTACAAAAACTCTTCCAGAAGAGAATGTCTACACTGCCATGTGCTTTTGCGCAACAGCATCCATGCCAGTGTAGATGGTCTCTTACGCAAGAAAGCTCTGATGGCAATTTTAACCATAGGGCTTTCTTGCACACGAAATTCATGTTGCCTGTCTACACTGGCCTCTTGCGCAAGAAGAGTTGTGCAAGAGGGCTTATTCCTGAGTAGGAGCATCATAGTTCTTGCACAAGAAGCCCTGATTTTATACAGTTGAACGTCAGTTTACTTGCGCAAGAACACACGGTCAGCGTAGACAGGCAGCAAGTTTTTGCGCAAGAGCGGCCACTTTAGCGCAAGATTGTACCAGTGTAGACACAGCCTAGGTGGTGGAGAAGAATAGGTAACAGTAGGTGGGACAGCAGCCAAAAGGGGGAGCTCTGGCATTGAAACACTAATTCCCAGGAGGTGCTTGTTGTAGTGAGGCATGCCCTGCTACACAGCCACTTTCCCTGCGGGCCCTTGCAAGATCAAGATACACGTTTTTGCAGGTACTGAAAACAGTGAGTTTGGGGGAAAGAATGGGGGTTGAGAGTGTGCATAGAGGCATCTCAGAACTGTTCCTCACTCTGGCACTTCAAATGCAGAAGGTAAGGGCTTGAAAGAGACTTTAAAATACCTTACCACTAAAGATTTCTAGTTGAAGACTGCCCAAGATCACAGGTTTCCTGACCTTGAATGGTACCTCTGCCACCACCCAATACAAGAACTCCTTTGAGAGCCCAGGAAGACATTTGAGAATCTTATTATGGGGTACCTTCAACTTCTTTAATCCTCCTCTGGAGAGAGTTTAAAAAAATCCAATCTGTAATTTCTTAATAGCTGACCTTGCAATCACACAATCCCCTTGGGCACATGCACACATCTGATTAAACATCGCCTATTCTACTCACATATTTGTTGCGCCAAGGTTTAGTTCTTCCCTAGGCATGGATGTTGCTGAATATTCCATGCCTGATACCTTGGCTTAATTCATGTTTCCTAGCACTGGTCACATGGACTCCCACAGGAGGATAACTGCTTCCAATTCAAAAGCCCACACTCTGTTTTCATTGGCTCTTCTTGCTTCCTGCCAACATTTCCTACTTACCTAGCATTCCTGAAGACTCTCTAGGACCCACTATTTACAGTTTTAACTCATTTAGGTTATTTAGTTAACAGAACGGCTGAAATGTTCAGAGAAGGGTATATCATGGCTCAATTTCCCAACCTGACACAGCAAGTGCAGAGATGGGGAGCCAGCTAGTAGAATAAACTCTGTAAAACCTGTCGCTGTGATTCCCAGACAAACTTGTCCAGTCTCAGTCTCTCTGAGATCCAAAAAAGATAAAGACTGATTTGCTTGCTGCCACCCCCCCCACCCCCCCCAAGTGAGTAAAAGAAAATATAAAATAAACCCTTTTCCAGGGAAGAGATCACTTGGGAATCCCCTCCCTAAGGCAAAGCTCTCCCGCCTGTCCCCAACCTCTGTTTTGCTTGGAGTTGAGAAAACAAACAGAGGGAATCCGCAGAGAACAATGGGCTCTGCTCCTCTTAGACGATTTAGGCAGGTAGGCTTAAAGACACAGCGATCAAAACAAAACTACTGTTGCAAGCATGGTAAATGACTGGGTGTTTAATAGCTATGGAGTGAAATAGACTCAGGAAATCCCTGGGTTATAATCCTTAGTTACAAAAGAGAAAAACTATTAGCTAGCTCACACGATTTCTAAACCCCCCAAATGAGGAAAACATTACAATAAAACTGACAGACTATCTAAACTTTTCCCTACTTACACATTTCAAGAAGTCCATTCCTGGGAAAGCCTGTCTCTATCCATACCCAGAAAAAACTGCTCTGTCTCAAACAAAGAAGAGAGAGAAAAAACCCTCTCTCTGTTTGAAATTCCTAACTGCATTTTTATTGGCTGACTGCCCAAAGCCCCCTTTATCAGGGGCATTGTCAGTTGCTTAACCCTTTCCTCACTCTCCAGGTAAATCAGATTTTCCTTAGCAGCTCCTATTTATGACAGGGTAGTACCCCTCCCATTCATCACAGGACGTAAGAAAATAGTTGTGGCTTGTGCTGCAGGTTTGCATAGAAATCATTCTAATGTGCCACACTTCTCCACAGGCAGATCTCACTCTTGCTAATAGCTCACTGATGAGGGTAAGCAGGGAAACCAGGGCTCTACTTCTGGATGCTAGCAGGTGTTGCTTTACTCATTATGCAGACCAATTATGTGTCACTTTGGTTCCTGCAACACTGTCTATCATGGGGGTGGGGCAGGAAACATGGCTGCACTGCCATGGAACCTGTAACAGAAAAATCAACAAATACCTCAAGCAAAGTTTCCAGAGCCTCTCTTCAGGATTAATTTGAGATCTAAGTGTGCATTAACACCCTGCTTGAACATAATGTCTAGCAGGGCTATGCACAGCTCAGAAAAACACTGCCACCCTCCAACCTTTCTGTGCCCTACCTCCCCACACTGATAAAATCCAAAAGCTCTGCAGTGGTCCAAGCAAGAGAGCATTTAGTGTGAGAGCGAGCCCTGGTCAGCTGGGAAGATGCTTTGAGAACACTCCAGGCTGAGCCAGCCAGCAGGAAATGGAATTTAAATTTCCTGGGGCTGGCAAGAGAAGGAGGGCAGATTACTGTTTACTTGGCTGCAGGGCAGCGGAGTTCAAAGTGCTACTCAGAACGACTATTTAGGCATTTTGGGGAACATCCTAGAGTTCAATCAATAAAGGTGAAAAAAGCCTCCTATGTCTGATTGTTGACAGTAAAGAGAGAGGAAAAGAAAAAAGTCCCTGGTGGACGTGGAAATTTTCTGTCATCCAAACTGGGCATTTTTGCAGCCTTTGTTGCATTGCAGTGTGAATGCAATCCGAGTTTTGTCACCAAAAGGCTTTTTTGCTGTCAAAACTTGGTAGACATGCCCTTAATTCTCTTCTGAATCCAGTTATATTTTTGGGCTTCACATTTCCTAGCAATGAGTTCCAGAGGTTGAATGTGCATTGTGTGAAGTACTTCCTTTTGTTTGTTTTAAGTCTATTGCCTATTAATTTCATTAAGTGACCCCCTTGTTCTTGTTTTATGTGAATGAGTAAATAACACTTCTTTATTCACTTTCTCCATACCAGTCAAGATTTTATAGACATCTGTCATGTTCCAGTGCCCTTGCCTCCTTCACTATCAGTAATGTAAATGAAAATTCTGCTCCCAGAGTAGGCATGTGAAAGTATAACTGAGTACACAGTTAACCGATGAGTCTGGGCTCATCAATTAATGTTCATAGTTACATGCAGGCTCTGATTACACAGAAAGCGGGCTTAAAAGTTGGCTTCCCATGTGCACCAGCTCCTGATGAGTCGCCTGCTGCCCCACACTGCTGGCTCTGTACAACTGGGTGGGGATAGGTGGGAGTTGGTATGCACAGGAAGCTGGGAAAGCCAGCTCCCTACATGCGCCGGCTCTCAGGGAACTGACTGCTGCCCCATGTGTAATCACTTTTAGCGGTTACGTGGTATCTTAAACACATTTTAACATCTCTATTCCAGAGATCTCATCTCTGGGGAAATTTGGAGCTGAACTTTATGGACTGGGCTCACTTCTAGTTCTCATGATTCAACTCATAAGCTGACATTTCTCATATCAGTCATGTATAATGAATGAATCAAGGAAAAGGATGGCTGGGTAAAAACACACAAGAAAAATAAGAGGCATTTTAAATGAGGGAATTATCATGGGTGACATTCAGATTTTGGTAGAGAGGAGCAACTTTAACTGTGATTCCAGAGGCTACCAAGGCAGCTTAAAACTCAAGCTTTTTGCAGAGAGTAACTTAGAAATGTTCTCTCTCTCTCTCTCTCTCTCTCTCAAAAGAATCTCAGATAATGACCTCTAATACTAATATATTCTGACAACTTGTGGCACGCTACTTAAGGGACATTGATTAGCTTTTCAATTTTAAAATATATCTTTAAAATATATTCTTACTCTTACATTTGAAATAATTGTTGAAAAATTTAGATTACTTTCTATCATCTAGTCTACGTTCTTTTTGCAGTTCACCAAATTTACAATAGATCATTTGTTTGGAAACATCCTACTAGGGCAAGGCCATGTGTTTATAATGCATCTGCCTGAGGATATAGAGGTGTTTCCATATTGTAAAATAATAGACTATAAAGTGACTTAACAGGAGTGAAACTGACATGTTTGAATCACTTTCACAGTAGTGCCAACGCAAATGTTTAAGCACTAGAGATGTAAAAAGGTAACCGTGTATCTGCTAAAAATCTTAGTGTTTACACACGCTACAGACTCTGCAGTATAAAGCTGGGCCAGAAGGGGCTGCCATCTCTGCTCCTAGTGACAGGGCAGCAGAGTTTAACAAATAACATTAACTGATAAGCATCAGCTTATTGGTTAAACCATTAATTGATTGAACTCTAACATTCCGATTACACACCATGAGTCAGGCTCATAAAAAATTATGAGAATGGTTTAAAAATATTGTGAATATGTAAAAGTAATAGATTTGTTTTTTAATTTGCTTTCTGCATTTTGAGCGTTTCAGGTGTGTTGGCATTACATCTTGAAGCTTTCTCCACAGCCACAAGAGTTAAAAACATACTTTTTCTTTAAGAATGAAGGCTAAAATAATCACATATCCTCTTGACTCCAGGAGCTGGGGCTTTAAGGAACACACTCATTAGCACAAGACTTATGGCAAAATCATCAGAGTTGACAATACTGCAGTTTCACTTCTGTTTAAAGATAGTTACTTTCCAGAAGGCTCTTAAGAAAAATATTACAGGGTCCAGTTTCAATTCTCTCAAGAGAATATTTAAAATGAAGCAAGAAGAAAATTCCACATTTTAAAGTTGAGGAAAAAAAGACTTATGAGGTATATCATGGTCAATTCAGATAGGAAAAGAAATTAAGCAGGCATAGGAACTTTGGGGAGCTCTTTCTTTTGAAAAAAAATTGGAGCATCAAATCTTCCAGTCCTTACTCAGATACCTGAGCCATCTTATCCAGGGCCACACATTTTGTCCGCATTGCCTCAGGGACTGTAGTTTTTTCTGAGAACAGTGCTGAGCATGCAATTGGTGTCAGTGAATAAGAACATAAGAATGGTTATATTGGGTCAGACCAGTGATACATCTAGCCCAGTATCCTATCTGCCGACAGTGGTCAATGCCAGCTGCTTCAGAGAGAATGAACGGAACAGGTAATCATTAAGTAAACCAGCCTGTCACACATTTACAGCTTCTGGCAAACAGATGCTAGAGATACAATAATACAATCTCATGAATAATACAAATCGTGACAATAATCATCAACTTTATAGATGCTATGGATGCAGTTTCTGTTCTTTGTTCTGGAATTGGCCTGAATATTGCTGAGAGCATAAGAATTTAAGACATAAATATATTTAATACTCATATGACGCTTTCTCAATTCTTCCTTTCCTCAGACTCAGAACAAAAAATTATACAAAATAGTTTTCAGTTAAACATAAAATTTCACAGCAGCCATTACTCTATGGGCCTGCCTGGAGCTAAATCTGCTACCCTTTAGGGGTTAAATAATTTCTCATTTGACTCGCATTTTCTCTCTTTCTTTATCCTTTCTCTCCTCTGTGCTGCTTTTTAAGTGTCATCATTTCTAATTGAGCTGAGACCATTTGCTGGAGTCTTAGAGAACTGCCATTCTTAGAGTTTCTCCCATCTATAATTAGAGTTCTCTCTCTCTCTTTTGGCAGCATGTAGTAGAGAGAAGCTGGTCCACTGGACAGAGAGCTAGCTCTCAGAGACCTATATTTTCCTCTTGTCATGGACTTCCTGTATGGCTTTAGGGACAGAGTTTCAAATATTTTAGGCACCCTAAGGTGCAGCTAGCTGCTGCCAGGATTTACAAGGAACGTAATCCTGTAGGTGCTTTTAAAAATCCCACTAGGTGCCTAAATATCTTTGAAAATCTGGCCTTTAGTCTGTGTGTGCCTCAGTGATTGGTCCCACAGGTAGAATGGGAACTTGTCTATACCTGTCTACTATACCTTGTTTATACCTTGCCTATACTTGTCTACTAGCTCTTTCCTGGGTTTAGCCCCTTCTTTCCACCCATCTTCACCTAATGACTCCCTTTTCTGGATGTAACCCCTCCTCCTGCCACCTCCCGGGGATTCCTGTTTTATAGGCTAAGAAATCCAGATCCTTAATTTAATTTATTTTACTTTAAGGTACTGCAGGACCATTCATTATTTAACTTTTTTTTTTTTCAGTTAAAGGCTAACAGGGCTACCCTGCTGAGACTTACTTTAATTACCAGCCCCTTTTTTTTCATCTTGCTTCTGTCTGTAAACAAAACACTGACCCTCTGACCCAGGGCAGGAGCCGGGAGCAGCACTTCTCCTCTGATGAACTCACATTCCACATAAACTTAAAAAACAACAAATGATCTGGTAGCACTTTATAGACTAACAAAACATGTAGCTGGTGGTATGAGCTTTCGTGGGCACAGCCCACTTCAGATGACTGGAATTTTGAGTTTAGGATGTACAGAGGCTGCAGGGCAGTTAAGTGAGCTCTGCCTGAGGCTAGGATCCATACAGCCAGGAAAGCTCCTATATGAAATTCGGGGTGGCTGGAGCTCCCCACTCTGCCCAAATTGCATACTGTGCATTATTTACAAGAGCAAGCTGCCATAGGCCTTGAGTTATACAGACCCATGATTCCCCAGCACCAGTAATATTGCTGGCCATGGGTTAGACTCCACCAAAGCTGGATGCCTGCCACTTGTGTGTTCTTCACCCACTGCCCCTGGGTGACTTCAAAAACCCTGGAGGTCCCTGGCAACACCACCAACAGCTTGGGGTGTGTGTA